GAAAACTGGAGCTTGAGATCAATAGGCGGACTGGTGCTGCATCTGCAGTGATGCGGGCCTTTCACCTGTCTGTCATGGTGAAGAGAGAGCTGAGTCAGAAGGCGAAGCTCTCGATTTACCGGTCGGTCTACGTTCCTACCCTCATCTATGGTCATGAGCTTTGGGTAGTGACTGAAAGAACGAGATCGCGGATACAAGCAGTCGAAATGAGTTTTCTTCAAAGAGTGGCTGGGCTCTCCTTTAGAGATAGAGTGAGAAGCTCGGCCATCTGGGAGGGGCTCGGAGTAGACCCGCTGGTCCTCCACATCGAGAGGAGCCGGTTGAGGTGGCTCGGGCATCTGGTCAGGGTGCCTCCTGGACGCCTCCCTGGTGAGGTTTTCCGGGCACGTCCAACCGGGAAGAGACCTAAAGGTAGACCCAGGTCACGGTGGAGGGACTATGTCTCTCACCTGGCCAGGGAACGCCTTGGGATTCCGCCGGAGGAGCTGGCCCAAGTGGCCGGGGAGAGGGAAGTCTGGGCCTCTCACCTTAGGCTGCTGCCCCCACGACCCTACTCCGGATAAGCGGATGAAAATGGATGGATGGATGGATGGATGGATTCTACTTCTTTATTTGACTTAATTTTTTTCCTACATTTTGATGTATTTATTCTAATCTGCTTTCTAATTGAAAAGGGTTTGGGTTCTAAAGGGTTAAACACACACACACACACACACACACACACACACACACACACACACGCACGCACGCACGCAGACACACACACACACACACTTGGGTTTAATAGTTGAATAAGGTTCCTGCTCCGACTCAATTAGCTCAGGTGAGAAGGGAGTCGTTACCGTCTTCTTGGTCTCATCTCCATGTTTGTGTGCTCCATTAGGTGTAATGAAGAATGAAAACGATGTTGTACCCAGCTGATCTGTCACCGGGCACATTAAACAAACAACAAGGTGTAGAGTGAAGGAAGACGGTGGAAAGACAGAAAGTACATAAACAGAGAACCTGTGTAGGCCCGGCTCATCTCTGAGTTTGACAGGGCTACTTACCTGAAAGGTAGTTGAAAAAAATCCTGCCTGGAACACTTCTGCAACCCTAAGCTCATTAGGCAAACACACTTCTTCATTCTCATCCCTACCTTTTCCATCCCAGTCGAGGCCGATCTCCCACTTAGATACAGAGCACAAATAAACCAGACCAGACAAATCTACTGAGGAGGAATAATCTTTCTGAATCACCTGTCAAGTCAAGAAGATAAAAAAGCTGCCCTTCTTTCTAGCTGCCTGTGCTCGTGTCTGGTTAGGAACTGGGTTGGCCTATTTCAGTGTGTTTACTTGCAGCCAAGTACAAATTAACCTCCCAAGATCAACAATAAACATAAATGGAGTTGTGTTCTGCAGCACACATCTCTAAACACAGATCACGGCTCTTTGAGAGATGAATCTCCATCTGTCTGTTCCACACTAGGAGGAGGAGAGACTCAGAGAAGATCTGTCCTCGGACCTGGATTCCTTGTACTTTGTGTGTGTGTGCATGCGAGGGAGAGAGAAGCCATTGTGGCCAGGGGGTTCCTTCCCCATGTCAGCTCTTATTTGATGATGTCATGCTGCAGCAGGGAAGTGGGACATGGCACATACAGGCAGAACACGCCGTTGGATTTGAGCATGCTAGGTGCTGACGGGGAATGGGAAGTGCAGAGAGGCGGGGGTTCGTCACACTAAGGGGCTCAGACAGGAGCAGCTCTGCCCTGTAAGTTGACACTCACCACTGTGGCGCAGACAGCCAGACAGGGAGAAATCAGGAGTGGTCTCACACGGTGGACTCTATAGAACTCATTATTTGACACAACTTTATTTTTCTCACAAAGGACTTTAACAGAACAGGGCTTCATTAAATCTTTTGGTTTGAAATTTTCAAGAATGTAATGCTTTTTCTTCAAATGATTAAAAAGGGAACTTTCTAGATATTTATTTTCAAGTCATCGTTATTCTCCTAAGCAGCCGGTGGACATGACATCATTATCACTTTGTCACTGTGCAAGATAAAGCAGAAGGAACACCAAGGTCCAGATATGTTGCTTTTATAGTTAGTGTATGATGAATGGGGCAGCTCCTAACACCCAGAGCTGTGTGGAAGTCCTGTCCATAAGTCAGCAGGGGGCAGGTGTCTTCTGCTCTGCCACTAACTGACCAGGGGTGCCCAGTCCTGGTCCTTGAGGGCCGGTATCCAGCACGTTTTAGTTTTAACGCTGCTTCAACACAGCTGATTTCAATCAGCAGGTGATTAACAGGCTTCTGCAGAGCTTGACGAGATGCTGCACAGGGGATTCAACCAGTTAATCAAGTGTGCTGAAGCACAAAACCCCAAAAACCTGCTGGATACCAGCCCTCCAGGACCAGGATTGGGCACCCCTGAACTAAACTGAACTGTTGTATCTGGTAAAACAGTTGAGTTGTACTTTGTCATCATTTTCAACAGCCGGTCTGGATGGCTGATTTCAGCTGCATGTTTAGTAAATATGCACAACTAAGTAAAAATCTGACTGAGTTAGTAGGAAGGACACTTTTGAATCATGTGAGTATAAGATGTATGTAACAGTAGCAGGACAATAAAGCACAAATGAGTGCAGTTTAGTGTCCCAATCTGTTCTCAGGTTTGTTTTGGCTTTCATCCTCAGTTTATTTAAAGAGCAAGTCACCCCTTACAAGAAGCGTACTTCACTCCCACTTCATGTTTGAAAAATGCAACAAATGCTGTTGCCTAGCAGACGGAGAGGGTGGGGCCACTACAAATACACACACTCACGACATTGTGACATCATAATCTACCAGTTTACATCATAGCATACCTCTTAGCCAATGGCGATGGCAGATTTAAATTCAAATGCAGTGAAGAGTTTTTACCTGACAACGGTACAACACTGACAGTTTCAGGCAGAAATTTTAAATTTTAACTAAAATGCACTAAAGTGCAAAACTATTGACTACACGTGTCTGCAGCATGATTAGACACGCATTTATATAGTTTATCAGAAAAAAATAGTTTATTTGGGGGTGACTTGCTCTTTAAAACTAGATCTTCAAGTCCACCCCCCACATTTATTCATGTTTTACCAAAGTCTTTAAAGCCTGATTCAAGAAACAAAAACCAGATAATTATTTTCCCGTAGACTGGTCTATAAACTATTGTCAAATGAAAACATTTGATTATAACAGTAATAAAATAATAAAAATTGGCTCTTGTCCCTGGCAGAGGCAGAATGCAATGGAAAAGAAGTCTGAAGAATATACTAATCCTGTTAACGAGACAGAAGTAAAAGAAAATTAGGACTGTTTCCATTGCCGGAATTCCAGGGTAATTCCCGGGACAGGGAAATTGACCAGGAGATATGATGTCCCAGTCCCCTCAGCTCTTGTGTCTCCATTCAAATTCAGCCGTTTCATGACTTTGCACAAACATTAGCATATGGCGAATGCTTTGGCGATGAGTGATGTCACTGATCAGTGCCAAACAGCATCCACAGTAACATTAATGACAGTAAAAGCATTTATTCTGTTGAAGTATACAATCTTTTAATCCATTCAGAGAAGAGCTGCTGTATGATGTACAATGTGGCGTTCAATGACCAGAAGCAGCTCTGTTTTTACAGCACTCTGTGAGACAACAAAGCCTCGTTAATGAAGTTGCTTCCATTCTGCTTCACAAGCAACTCTTCTATTTTTCACTAATGTAAGCTGTTTTGGAAAACATCTCCTGATGTCCCTTCCTACTGAGTTACAACCAATCAGTGTGAGATAACCAGAGGTTCTGCTCAGCTACTCCACCGGGCCGTCTGGAGTACCTACCTCTGAACAGGTACTCAGAAAGTTCCTGAAAATGACCGTTCGGCCAGCCCGGTCAAGTGGAGACAAGCGTGTCAGTAGGTTCCTGTAAATCTACCCTGAAGTTCTGGTGGTGGAAACACACCTAATGTGAACTATTTAGCATTACCATTATGACTCAAAGTAGAAACGTGTACACATTCTGAGCTTAGTGATGGTGACCAGAGGAAAGGTAAATGGTGACTTCCAATAATCTGGTTTTGACCTTTTCACCACTGAAGCCAGTCAGGCTTCATATGGACCAATGTTTTAGTAGCATCTTTATTCAAGAAGAAATCAGTGATCTTTGTAATTTGAGACAAACAGTTGCAGTCCAGTGAGATACTGGCTCAGTAGTTCAGATGATTTGAAAACGGTTTCTGTGATTAATTATTGGCTCAGCTGTAAATAAGTGGGTGAACAAATTCAATTTAGTGAAAAAAGTTCAAATCTGCCCAAGCAGATGATGATAGTCAATCACTATGGGACCGGTTAAAAAGTGGATTTCTAATATCTTAAAACGAGTCAAATATTAAAAATGTCACCACACTTGATGCAAAAAGTATATTTTTACACTATTCTAAACTCTTCTGTTAATGTCACATTTCAAAGTTATGTTTGTGTTTCAGGCAGTCTAGTAATTTCTGCTGTAAATAAATGTAGAATTCCATCTAAATAAACACGAATGTTAATGTAAAAGTTTGAGTTTCTAAGTGACAATAGTTCACTTTGGAACTGGCCACACTGTGACTAACCGTTAGCTCATCAGTACGATCAAAAGTAGTCTTAATTTTTCTAAACCAAGTTGTTCAAAGGGCGTTCCACAACAGGTAAGATATTAACAGTGCATAGTGTTTCCACAGAAACACACTTCAAAAGATCTGAACTTTACCTTCAAGGCCTTGTCTGAAAAATATATCAGGTGTACGTTGCTGTAGGACCCAGCTCTTAACTTTAACAATGGCGCCTGCTCAGAATAACAAATGTAAACTACCTTAAACCTGCTTTTGTACTGGTAACGGTCTGGGTGATCACGTTTCTCCTTTATACCTTCAGGGATTAGCAATTATTACCTTGTGTTACGCTTGTACATGAAAAAGTAAGTCAATTAAAAGTAGATAAATAAATAAAAGACAGGGAGACGATTAATCAGAAAGTTTATATAACAAAGTGGTTATCATTTAGTACCACACTCCATTACATGTTCTATGGAAGGACAGTGTGCATAACCATTTAGACTTTGTTTAATGTTTCTAAGGATACAAAGAATCTTAAAATGTTACAAATATAAATGTTTCTTAAGACATTAAAACATGATTCAACATGGAGGAAGGCGGGGATGTGGCAGCGTAAACATCGTGGTCAGACTGGCTTCTCCAACAAAAACTGCAACCGCCTATGTTCTTACCTCACATCAGCAGCAAACACCACTGAAGGAAGCGCGAACTGGATATGTGGCAGCTGGTTGGTGTTTACTAATAGATGCTCTTTGCAAATACTTGACTCTATTAGTGGAAATGTTGCATTTAGACATTTAGAAAGAAAGACTCTCTGTCTGAGCTGAATATCGTGTGAGGTAAAGTGCACGGTCTGTGAGCGTGAGTAACGGTAGGAACTTTTAATTAAGTCGAAGCGCTCGCCACTGGTGACCACAGAAATGGCACCTTTACACCTCACACCCCTGGCTCCTCACTCGCGTAAGGTCATGTCATCAGCTGAGGTTTGTTAGTAACGAGAAGAAGGACGAAGGGCTGATTTTCACACAATTAGGATGGATCAGAACAGGCTGGCCGACCCTCGGGATCTCTCGCTGCTATTCCCTATTAAAAACACACAAAACTCCTAAAAGATGGAAGCTGGACTAATACAACAATCACAGAGACAATGAGGTTCCATTGTAGAAGTCTCTCATCAGTAAAACTACACAGAGCTTTGAATTTTCCAATTATTAGTCAGATTTCGTTTTTTAGTTTGATTCTTGATGGATTTACGCAAGAATTATGATCTGAAACTTCTACAGTGGCTAACACTTGTAGCTCAGTCTAAAATGACAAGTTGATGACTTTTTTTTACACCATCTAACCTAATTCTAAAGAAAAAAAGTTCAGCTGTTTCAGCTGATACATACACGACCATCACATTCACAACAAATCTCCTACGTTTAACTATCCTCAAGAGCAACCAAAACACGCTTTTAAACAGCCCGCATGTCTGTACAATCTTTCTTGTAATTGAACAAAAAAAAAGTCGACACATTGTTTAAATAATAAACAAAATTTGAGTTAAATTAATCAGAAAGACACTAAAATATGAACAGAGTCCAATCAGAAAAGGAGAAAGGACTGAACTTGCTGCACTGATGAATAAAACAAAAACTCTTTGATGCTTGGAATGGTACAGGTGAGTTGTTGTGAAGAACAGAGGGCGAGGAGCGATTACAGAGAGGAAATCACTTCCTTTGACAAAACATCTCCATCTCTGCTGTGTTCAACACGTCCTTAACACTCCCGTCAGCGCAGAGTCCCTTATCCAGAAAACTCATTCTCAATGCCTCCTCTCTGTGACTGCTAGAGCCCATAGTCAGAGGAGAGTTATTGTCTTCTTAAATATGCAGACTTCTCCGAGCATTGTGGGTGCACCTTGAACCGAGATGATGTGTAAAATTGCATTTTTAGAAGCATGCAGGCTGTGAGGGAAGAGTGTGTGTGTGTGTGTGTGTGTGTGTGTGTGTGTGTGTGTGTGTGAAGGGGGCTTTGTGAAACAGACACGTCACAAGCAGCGCTGGCAGATTGTTTAAATGAAAAATCTCCATCTATTCAGCCCGGGAGTCAAGCACGCTGAATCCCATTTTCCCCCGGTTCCTGTTCTGATTACTGAGCTGGCATGAAGCGCACACGCGGCTCGCTCGTCCCAAAGAGAAACACACACAGCCCAAAGCAAAGTTCTGGTGTTAGTAAAGTTACTTGTTTTATAGTAAAAGGGTCACTTATGCCATTAATGCTGGGGAATTGGAAGGCGCTCGGCGGCTTTAGGACGAGTTACGTCCCATCTGTGACGCTCAGTCAGTAATTCTGGTCACGCCCCGTCTCTGTGTGCATTTAACGGTTGTTTTTAGTAGCACCTGCTTGCAGTTAGGAAAAGAGAGGAATACAGACGCCTTTACCCCGAATACATGAATAAAACCTATGTTACACCACGACGGTGTCATTGATCCCACAGAAGTTTCCTGATGATTTAAAATCTGTTTCTTTCCTCTAATAATCAGTACATGTGGGATTAAATTATGATTCCTAATATATCCGATAATAACATGGCTAATCTTGGTTAGTATGCGCTAAAACAACTCCTGTATTCCTATCGGTATAATCGCTGCATATTTTAAGAGCCCAGCGGGAGATGAACAACCTCTGTTCTCAATCGTTCTATTCTTTTAGAGCCTTCATGTTCAAAAAGCGTCCTGAAGAAGTTGTACTACCGTTTGTAAATTGAGGTGACCCTGACTGAGAACCTGTATGATCTGAGGAGATGTCTGGGAGTTCGTGGAAGTCCCTCTGGAGTGTTAGACTCATTTAAAAATGTAAGTCTGTGCATATTAACAGCAAAAGTGACCTCAGGATCAGCACCCGAAGGCGGCGGTGAGATATTATACATCAAAAAGTAAAATGCACCTCATCAAAAAGGAGAGCCTCTTGCAGCTTCACATCCATAAGTCACATGGTCTGTAACATCTCTGCAGACAGCCGCCGTGTTGCGTGGCTTTGTCAGAAGACATGATTATCACTGAACGTGGCGTTTGAGACGGACAGGAAGCAAACTTTAACAAGCTGCTGTCTCTTCGGTGGGGACTTGCTGACACGGCTTCCTTTTAAAGGACAGCTGCCCGCGTTCCTCCGTGAGAGCGTGTGGTATTTTCACGTCCTTCTAGTCAAAATGTCTGTTTTCAGTAAAAGTCTCATGTCGAGTGTGTGAAGTGTAGCGTGTTTGTTTGTAAAAGCAAGAAAAACAGGTTTGAATCCTTAAAACATGTCCTGTGTAGACAAGTAGCTGTGAGAAGACAATGAAATCATCATGAATACATATGTAAAGTGCCTGATAAACACTGTTTAGGGTTTTACTTTGTGTGTGTGTGTGTGTGTGTGTGTGTGTGTGTGTGTGTGTGTGCGCCACAGTGAGAGGTGGTATGCCCCTCCATCGGTTGTCTTCCTCATCCTCCTCATCGCAGGCCTCTTTGGCACTTATCTAGCGTCTTGTGGTAGGCGTGGGCGATCATCGAGCTTGGTGACTTGTGTTGTGGCGTGAACGAGACCTTTCCAGGACTGCGCGGCGGTTGTCTGTTCAGGATGAAAAGGGAGAGTCAGAAACGGGGCGTGAGACTGGGAGAGGACAAGCAAGTGTTACATTGATCCATTTTGACGAAGGAGCTTATCTAAATGAAAGAGTGTTCATAGAAACTAAGAGAAGCAAAGAAAAGTGACGGCGGGGAGAAGGAGGAACAACAGGAAGACAAATCCAGGCTGATTGAGAGTAAAGCAGCAGGGGAGGACGGAGGAACACAGGAAGCTGCTGGAGTGGGGGGTGCTTGTGTCGGGTGTCATAGTAACTCCATTCATCTCCTGATCCTGGCTTCCACTTAAGAGCCCCTCAACTATTCTCACATCAGATACAACGTATGCACACACACACACACACACACACTAGAGCGGGCATTAATCGGACCACACATACGCTGCACATGTGGGGCTTTTCCATTTGACCAGGTTAGCATGTTTACGTATGCGGCACTGTGAGAAAGTCATCTCCCTCTTAGACATGTTTCTGTTAGTTTTCAGATGTTTCAGAACCACAGTCAACCCTGAGTTTTGTTTATTACAGAATATTTACCCGGTTGTAACACTGGCAGCAACGCTGCTTTCAAGGATCTGTTGACAGCTGCTTCTCTCTCATCTCTGGGGAGCGGGGCGTGGCGTTTCGATCCACTCGTCTTTGCAGAATGTTTCACATTCGGCCACATCGGCGGGTTTTTCAGCATGACTGGCTTGTTTGAGGTCAAAGGTCAGTCCTTCTTCTTTAGGATGTTATGATAGGGTTAGGGTCATGTTCTAGCAACTGCAACAAGTCGTCCAGACCATCACACTACCACCACGATGGTGGCCTGGGTGTTGCTTTCATTCATCTTAAAGGCAGTTGGTTTTACACCACAAACAATGGAACACACACCTCTGCAAATACACATGTGAGATGAGTCTTTGTGTTATTAATGGTCAGCAGAGGTTTTAGACCTAGAACTGACCCCAACCCTTATAGCTGAGTCATGAGATTAACCCTGACCAACAAGGCCTGCAGCCCTTTAGATGCTGATCTGGGTTCTTTTGTTCCTGAATCTCTTTAGAATGGGGAACAGCGTGTAGCTGTGGACACTTTAGACTTCAGATTGTCAGAATGTTGAAGTGGTTCTAATGTTTTGGCAGTAAGCAGGTCTGGGTGTGGCTAGAGAAACTGAACTCCATCTGCATTTACTGTTGATCTGATATTGCAAAGCAAACAGGATGAATCTGTAGGAGGTAAGTAGCCACTCTCGCTGCTGGAGCTGATCTGTTTTGCTCTCCTCTCATTTTCGGCGTCTAAAAAGATGCCAAGGACCGAAGGGAAGTTCAGAGTCTTTCTAACTCAAATTCAGTTGCAGCCTTGTCTGAACATTCAGATCTGATCCTTGCTCTGCTAATCATTCCCAGAGCCATTTGGAATGAACAAAATGTTTTCCCTGGTGAGCTGTCTGAACCCTTTAATTGTAAATAGCAACAACTAGTGCAAATCAGAGTTCAGGTGAACAGTTCTGCATGGGCTGCATGGTGGCGCAGTGGTTAGCACTGTTGCCTCGCAGCACAAAGGTTGCAGGTTCGAAACTCGGCTGCGGCCTTTCTGCGTGGAGTTGCGTGTTCTCCCCATGCATGCGTGGGTTTCCTCCAGGTACTCCGGTTTCCCCCACAGATCACAACATACCCTATAGGTTATAAATTGTAAGTCGCTTTGGATAAAAGCGTCTGCCAAATAAATAAACATAAACATTAACATAAACAGTTCTGGCGTTCTGTACTAGAAAACACGAGCAATGCGCTGGAGCTGCTCGGCTGACTGTGGCTCTGTGAGACTGATGAAGCCTGAGTAAGAAAAAGAAATTAAATAAAAGGAACACAAAAACGGAGAATTTGACAGTTTAATTAGATGTAGCTCCTTCTGGGATGGTAGAAGTGGCAGCAAATGTTTCACGGCTGCGTATGTGGTCAAGAATTCTGGGTGAACTTCTCTGCCAGATTCATGACAAAGAAATGCAAATATTTCTTCCAATGCGGTCCAACCGAGGCTGCCCAGAAATGCCCGTGACATCCGCTGAGCAGCCAGGTGGCAGGTGGGCCTGGACAGAACCAGAAGCCGAGGCACAAAGACGACTGCAGGCACACCCACACAGGACTCCTGGTATTTTTGAGTGCGCCGCAGCCAACGCGCCCATTACTCAGCGCCTGCTGCAGGGTGCCAGCCGTCCGAAGCTGCACGTTGTTTAATGGCACTCATTCCATCCATCATGTCAGGTAATGAGCTGCGAGGGAAAGCGATGGCTAGGAGACGAACACAAACCCGGGCCTACATTCACAGCAGCGAACAGAAAGCACTCCCTTCTTCAGATTGGATGTGAAGCATCATACAGATGGTGCACAGGAGGAGAGACAGGGGGAGGGAGGGGGAGGAACAGAAGGAGCAACAGGAAGACGCTTCAAGATTTAGGAAATGTTCCGTATTCTCTGCTCCTTTTAGCCTAACACACGTTTACATATTGTATGCGATCCTGAAAGCTAACATGTTCTGGCAGTGTGTCCAAACACATCAGAACTACTTATCCATGCACTCGTTTTTTTAAAATGTCTACAGGTTGTGCTTTACTTTGAAAGCACGACTCATGCAGCCTTGCTGCTTTTCAAAACAAGCTTCCATTCAACGCAGAAAGAACGAGGGGAAAAATTGGGGCAATTTAATAGAAAAAAGGGGAAAAAGGAGAAAAAAGTAGATCATCCACAATCCAGTCCTGCCAATCATTTGTGAGCCCAACTGCTGTGACCTCATTTCTGGGCAAGCAGTCGCCTTTAACCTCTCAGAGGAGCAGGCAACGCAGCTGAGAGGATACAGAGCCTCAGTCTAGAACTACGTGTGTGTGTGTGTGTGTGTGTGTGTGTGTGTGTGTGTGTGTGTGTGTGTGTGTGTGTGTGTGTGTGTGTGTGTGTGTGTGTGCGTGCGTGCGTGAGTGTTTGTGTGTGTGTGTGTGTGTATGGTGGTGGTGGTGGTGGTGGTGGGAGGGGTTCATGGGAGGAAACATAAACTGGGACTCTACAGATCCACAAACAAAAATATTAAAGCTAAACTGGAACATTCATCCAAAATAAACATTTAGGTTAATTCCATAAATGTTGTTTTTCACTTTTATCTGTGGTGCAAACTGAAAACAACAGATTATGAGAGTGAGCATCTGAGGAGCGGGGAGCGTTTGTTAAAAATGCAAGCACACTTTTGGGGTAACTGGTCTCCTGCCTTGCTGCTTAAATATGCCGGGAAGCTTTTGTCCCAGACGCTGCTGAGGGAGAGAACCAACCAGCCAAACGCATCTCCCATCAGAGGAGTGTTGTTGAATGAGGAGCTTTTAGGTTCTCATAAAGACTTTTCTGTTCCCATCTTCAGGTGCATGCAAGCCCATCTTTTCTCACCTCACATCAATCTATCACAACAATTGAACAAACAGCAGCCATTTCTACAGGGAGAGGAACATTACTGCTTGCCTCTACTGAATTGAAAGCTTCAAACACACACACACACTCACACACACACACACACGCACAAACAGGTGCAGTGGGAAACAACATAAGATGGGGAAGAAAAGGAGGACGGATCCACACAAAAGACAAACCATATTTTCTTTTTTGGAGCGCTGATTGCAACTCGGTCTACCCGTATTGGTTCTGATGGCTTCTTTACCTGCATCTCCCAGAGGCGACGTCTTTTGGAGTTACAGTAGAAGTGACACAGCGGAGCGAAAGAACAGGAGAAGAAATTGACAAAAGAGGATCAGGTATTCTGTGTTAGAGCAGGGACACGTTGGCATCCCAGCACTTAATTAAGCGCTGGCTGGCACCGCTTTACAAAATGTAGCTAAATGCACTGTGGGTGTAAGTGGGGGCGGGCAGGGGGGCGGCAGAAGAACTGACACACACACACACACGCACGCACACACACGCGCATGCACGCACGCACACACACACACACACACACATTGTTTCTAAAGTCCACTTCACTGTAAAATGTCTCAGTGCTGAGTGCTCATCGCAGTGAGGAAATCCCGTCCTCTCCTCCCATTTCTGGGATGGAAGAAAATCCACACGTGTACGATGCGGATCTTTCCGTCATGATAAATGATCCGCACATGTATAGCTCCTCTCAGAGTAAGGACTTCAAAGCACTTTACACTACAGTGTATCATTCATCCATTCACACACACATTCACACACCGATGGTGATGAGCTACTATGTAGCCACAGCTGCCCTGGGGCGCACTGACAGAGGCGAGGCTGCCGAGCACGGGCCCAAGGACACAACAGCAGAATTCTCTGTCCGGAGCCGGGATCGAACCTGCAACCTTCCGATTACTGGACAACCCGCTCAACCTGTTGAGCTGCTGCTGCCCTACAACAAAGAGCATCTGAACAGAGCAGCGGTAATAAAAAGTGAGGATGTTGAGATCACTTAAAAGCTAAAGCAAAGGCCTGGAGGTGGAGAAGAACAACAACCTTTCCCTGAGTGCTCCAGAGGCCTCCAGTGAAACTTCATTTCATGTTATGATAGATGTTCTGAGATTGCTGAAAGGAGATTAAATATCATTATGTCTTTGTGTTCTTGTCGACTTCGGCTAATTACACAGAATTACATCATGATGAGGCTCTGTGATCTGCGAAAGATGGAAATCCAGCCACTCATCTATCAAATACTTTCAGCTTGAGATGCTTTGCGGAATTACCTCCGATTGGTCAGTCTAAACAGGAAGAATTTGGAGGGATTATCCGGTGTTAGGTAAATACTGTATGGGCAGCATCAGACTCTGGGTAAACATCTGAGCAGGGCGTTCATATTGATTGAGGTCAGGTTCACATAATTACACGACTAAACAGCCTCAGAAGAAGAGCAGAGCTGAGCTGCAGCTTTGTACTGTTTCACCCACACCGAGAGTCTTTTGTGCAGAACAAGTGAGCGGTGAAGTCTTTGACGAATCCCCGGCTTTGTGTAATCTGTCTGT